TTTCAAACACTTAAACCCTGGAGTCATCGCGACGACAAGAGCTTGGAGCCAACTTTGTGGGCAGCACGACGAGGAACTTGAAGCGAACAACAAGAGGATCTTCTTCAGCATTATCCCTTCTTAGCATAATAACAACCCATAGGACTTCGAGGTAGCTCGCCTAGAGCGACGTAAATCCTCACCCTCTTTTAGGCCCCTGCACAACCAGGTTGTGCAGCATAAGTCCTAACTCGCTTTAGGTTCCGAGGTTGTTGTGTGGTACGACGTAAACCCTCCTTTCTCTGTGGGTTATTTGCACAATCGGGTATTATGCAAATGTAAGTTAAAATTGGCAGGATTAAACATTCAAATAACATCTTTTCTAAAAATGCAGCCACACAGTAGGATAGTTTGGGAAGTCACTGAGGGTTCTCCTTAGGATCTGTGACATCCCCTACCTTTTCTTTCCTTTGGACTCCTGAAATAATTGTTCATGTTTGAGCCACTCTCATTTGCCCTTCTACGTCCTACCTTGAAAACCTGAACCTTGAATTCTTGAAGACTAGAACCATTGATCATTATCGAGGCAAATGACTCCCGTCATTTGGGATGTAATTAACTATAGGGGCTTGCCTCTATAGGGAACTTGGAACCCAGATAAAATAAACCTTATTTAATCTTTGTATTAAATAGGGGAACTTGTCGGTCATATATAAAAGGTTCACAGACTAAACGGATGTCACAAATCTCTTAGTTTGCTGGATTGGGTCTATCGCCGAGGTCTACACTTATCTTTCGGGAGGGTGTAGTATTCGCGGTATCAGGCACGATTATGCAAACTATTGGACGAATGAGATCCATTTGGTCTCATTTTTCAAAAACTAAAACACACTACTTTCAAAACCCAAACTATATATCTTTTATATTTAAATTAAATCTCAAAAATTATTTTCATATATCATATTTTTCAAATAAATCTAATCAATCGAAAAAGTTAACCGACAGATGTCCTCTTCGAGTCCATCAACATTTTGGCCAAGATACTCTATATGGTTCTTCATGACATTCATTGCCTCCTCCACCCAAACAAGACGCGAATCAAAGTCGTGCATGATTTTCTTGGATCTCACATGTGGTTTGGATGCAGTTGGATCTCGTTGCTCTTGATGACCTCGCCCTTGTTGAGATGATTCTAGATCAATAGCTTCGGACACCATTGCGTGCTCTTTGACGCTCTTTGTCATACATTCAAACCGCGACTCTGATACCAACTGTCACGGACTAACTTATCTCTAATCGCCCATGCTGCTTTAGCGCTCCTCGTTGGCACTAAATCAGTCTATCCCTCACAACACTTGAACTTGTAAGCACAAAACAATCTAAGAAGAAGAGTATGGATAAATATTGGAGAGAGGAAAACTTCACTAAGAAACAAAGATTACAAGACTTGAATGTTTGGAGCCTTGGATGGATGCTTGGATGGTTACAAATGAAGGGAGGGACTCCTGTTTATAGTCCCCTTGAAGTCCAAGAGAACATTCTATAATAGTCTAGTTTCTAGATAATTCTACACTATTCTCTTAATTATATACATGACCCTAGATCCTTCTAGGTTATTCTTGAATTATCATTGGAGTTTTTCCTTCTACCGTTCTTTAGAATGAGGTGGAATCTTCTAAATTTATATGGATTTCTCTCATCTATCTAGTCTTCTCTAGAACCTTACATCCCATGATTGTCTTATCAGTTCCTAGAAGACAGCTGAGCGTGACAGTATGATCACTAAATGGGGATCTAAAGTCAATCCGAAATACTTAGGATAAGAAGTTGATGGTTGGAATATAAAATATAGAAAATTATAGTATATTCGTGAGACATTTAGCGATCAGCTTCAAATTGATGAAATCAACCAACATAACTACAATGGCATGACATTACAGGATAAAACTGACAAAAGATTCAAACAAATTCCTAAAATGCCGTCCGATAAGCCAATAGAATTGGAACAGGGCGAAAGCATCCCCGTCTTAGGAATAAAAAAAAAATTTAAAATCGACAAATTTCTGCTGGGAGAAAAAAAACAAGATGTCAACCCTTGGCCGTCATCTTCGAGGGAGAACGCGCGACGCAATTACTATACCGTATAGCTTCCTTAAGTTTGGATCCAGATAAATAAAAAAACAAAAAAAACACTGAAGCGTGTGCTTCTCTAGGTTCTATAATTCCTTCTATCAAATCACCGAAAGGATTGATTGCTTCGGAAACGGAGAGATCAAAAAAACACTTACTCTTGATCTTGGGAGACCGCCAGGGCATGATAGAAGCAGTGTAAAGGCGGATCCCGGATCCATCACGGGCTTCTGCTCATTCCCAGCTTTGCTCATCGTCGAGTATGGGATCCTTCATACCAAACACTTTCGAGATCATTTTATTGTGGGAGCTTCTAGAACATTCTTTTCACAACATTTTCTCTTTTTTTTTTTTTGTTTTTTTTTGAGGTGTCATTTCGAAAACGCACCAATCTGTTCCGGCAGCTTATGTTTTAATGACAACTTTTTGATTGTGATATGATTTTTCCAAAAAAATTAAAAATTTGTAATAGCCAACACATCTAGTTTATCATGAAATTATTTTTAAGCAACTTATCAAAATATTTTTTTAATAAACTACAACACCAAACAAACCCTAAGAGTGTATTATAAATAAAGGCGACAATCTGTTATATGTCCATTTATCATTTGTAAGGAATGTTAAATATTTGGATATTTAGGTTTAATTATAATGTTTGAACAACAAACTTTAAGCACATAGCTTTATTAAACATCATTATCTAATATGAATTTGTCAAAATCATCTTTAAATCTTCTTCGTACTCTAATTATGATTAAATCATAAATAAGTTAATATTTCAATCATGATTAATCAATCTTTGAACAATAAACATGCTATATTTGAATCACTTCAATCAAAAATTTACATGATCTTCAAAATATTCAAATAAGCTTCAAGTATTAGTAGAATAAAAGTTAAAGATGATCAAAATATTATTAAATGTGATTTACTTGTGGGACAACATTATTTATAAGTTATTTTATCATTATTTGAATATGATTTAATTAATTTGATTGTGGTTCAAATATTGCTCTAAAAATATTAAAAATTACTTCGTCTTAATTTAATAAGTGTTGGAACATGGTTCAGAAAAAATTCGAAAAAAATTTGATAATATATGTAATTTTATTATGCATGCACATCAATGCCTTAATCGTAACTAAAATAAAGATAAATTAGTTTACGTATCACATACTCATTTGACAGCTGAGATTAATGATCTCATTATCAAATATGAGAGGTCCCCTTTTGGTCAATTCTTTTGATCTCCTAAACTACAATTCACTAAGGCAAAAATGAATTAATTATTATTAAGAGTGGTTAATTATGATGATAAGGATAATGGATGCTTGATTATATTTAACATTGGAAGGAGTTCAAAAAAACTAAGTTTATCTTGATATTGAGTTGAGATATGAAAAATCCTTATATGAGTAGTTATAGAATATGAGAAAACATAGTCGGATACCCAAAAAGCTTCTTATATGAGGATAAGAATTTCGAAGTCTTTTAGTGTGTGCACTAAGTAGGATGATATGTGGAACCTTATGGTTTTTTTTTTTTTTTTTTTTTTTTTTTTTGTAGATAGTGTTTATTTCAACCGTGACAAACACAACAATATTTTCACTTAGAAGCTTCGCTTTTTTAATGATAATTAATTAATTGTTTAGTAGGTAAGCTAGCATAGAGAAGGTTTTAAAAAGGTTGAACAAGGATATTATTCATTGCAAGGCCACTCTTTAAAGAACAATGCCCTAGCCTAGCACACTATAATTGAATATGCAATAGGTTTATGTGGCATATTGATGGTTTTTTTAGCCTCTTAAGCAACGGTTAAATAATTTTCAATTTTTTTTCAAATAATTATTTAGCGTGATTCAAAGGAAGTTCAATTTTGATTTGAAATTATTTCAAATAATTCTAAAGGTGTTCAAAGAAAGTTTAAAATTATTTTAAATCATATATGTACATTATACACGACATTTTTCGATTGTTGGTTGAACCTTTTTCGAACTTGTTCCTTTGAACTTTGCATGGTTCAATATTTAGAATCCATTAAAATGAATGCAAATTTTACAATTTGTTTTCAACATAATAAATACAAGTCATTGTAATAATTAAATATTTAACAACGTAGAGTTATTTAATTATTAAAAAATATTAACATAAGGCTCACGGTTTTTTATTGAACCAATGAGTAGAACTACAGGATCATCTTCTTTTAAGTGTTAGTTACAAAAAACATCATGAAAAAATCATCAATATTTGTCGGAAGAAATTTAAGGTTATGTGCAAAGTCAATTGTAATGACTGGAGTTTTATTGTGTCCAAAGTTGAATGGTGACAATGCTTCTGGTGTGATTTAAAGATACATTAATTTTTAATAAAATTTAAGAGATATTTAGGCAGAAAAAACATATAAAATGGACAAATGAATATGATTTTAGCTAAGGGCTTAACCTCTATCCAATTGGTGAAGTAATCGACAGTCAAAAACACAAACTTTTGTTGCCCCGGGTCACTGGAAAAAGGCCTCATGATGACAATCCCTCACTGGGCAAACGACCAGGATCTTCGAAGAGATGTAAGCATTTATTAAACTAGCTTTATGGTAGAATGTACAATTTGTGTCAAATAATTCCATGAGCCACTTCATTAGACTCTATGTGTTCTGCAAAATAGCCTTTAGAGGGAGGTTCATGCAGGTATCAATAGTATAGGCTTGAAAATATGGACGTGATTTTTACGCTGAGAATATTAGTGGCACTGCAATCTTTATCAGTTAGTGGATAACAATCTTTAGTTTCATAAATAATTATACCGACATAGTAAATTAACCATTGAACCTTTTGCTCCTCCCAGATCAAGATTGAACTTAATGCACACGAAGTCAACATAAGATAAAAATATAAGATTTTTACTTGTATCGGTTTTAATAGTAGAGGTGGTGAAGCCAACCATGCTTTAAGATGATCAAAAGCGACTTGACATTCATTTATCAACTAAAATCTAATATCTTAAACATCTGTCAATATCTTGGAGAGCAGAATATACAAATTCATTCTGCAATTAACTAACACATTTTAATTTCTACAAAAAAATCCACATACTCCCACTTTTGCTCATTGAACAACAACCATGCAAGTTGCATGGTTCATGAGGGGTGTTCCTTTGACAATAAAACACAATTCAAGTCTTCAATGGGTGAAGGTCATTGGGATACATCTTCATCTCAGAGATTAAAACCCTCGATACTGAGAGACTTTGATGGTCATGATCGAGCCTGTCTAAGGTAGCTTGCTCTTTATGACCCCCCTTATAAAATGCTAACCCTAAATGGTGTTGGGAGCTTCATTTTGACTTGTAGAATAGAGACTATAACCTAAAAATTTTATTAGATAGTTCTTCTGAATATGACACTATCTGCCAACTCCAACTTGATATCAAGTGATTGGATACGTGAGTCATTCATCGGGGGAATGCTCCCAATGTAACAAGGAGAGTGAATGTCCCCTCGACATTCACAAACTGATTATTTAAGTTGTAGAGAGGTATGATAGCAAGTTCCAACTTTTCTTTGGTTAACCCCATACCCATGAAAGTTCAGTAGAATAAGAAGTCGAATGAGCTCCCTCCATTGATCAAAGTTTTTTTTGTATTTTAAAAAGGGTCATCAGACCCAATGCTTACAAGAAGAAGATTTTGGTGATGAACTCTGACTCTTTTAAAGTCAAATTCATCATATGTGATGAAATGGTTAACTCATCAATTCTTTGATGAGGGCTCTTCATAGGTAGTAATAAAGACTTACTTGGCCATGAGTGGTCCTCCGTAATCATTGCATTGTTACTAATAGTATGATAATTGTCTCACTATTGCTTTTGGGCTTGTTGCCCCCCAACAGAGGCATTGCTGGTTTAGGGGATCATACTTTGAATGAATTGACTCAAGTGCCCTTATCGGATTAGCCTTTCAATCTCCTCCATGAGTTAAAAATATGGTTCAACATTTTGGCCACAACCTCGATGGAAGTGACAATATTAGTCGTGATTCTCTGCATTTTACTTCAACAAAGACGACCACTTCAGAGTGTTGTGTTGAGCAACATATATTACTTATCAGTTTGAGATTCACATTTATGCAGTCGAGGTGGCAAATTAGGGTCTTCCTATGGTTCAAACATATTCCATTGAGATGATTGACCAATGTCTTACACTTCTTTAATTTTGAATCAAATTAATTTTTGTGAATTAATAACTTCATCAGTAAATATTTGTGTCTCAATACGATGGATGAGATCAACGTAAAATTTCACTGCCTCTCGTATTAAAAACAAGTAGAAATGAGCAAAACATAGCCTTCATAAGAAAACACCTCTTAGTATGTTTAGATGTACTCACAGAATTTGACAAGCTTTAACAGAAAATCTTATAAAGTAATCCTTCAGTGCTCCCCTTAGCTTTAGTGAATTATAGATAAGTGAGAGATGTCTTTGATGATCATTCAAATTGCAATGAATTACTCTGCAAACACATTAGCTTACTTATTAAATGTATGAAAGCTCCCTCTTAAAAGTGAGTAAAATCAATTGCATGCTTGACCCTCAAACATTGCACGAAAAATTTGATAAAGGAGCGCATCAGAAGCTTGTTGTATGTGCATAATAGTTATGAAGTGAAGCTCGAACTTGCATGGGCCAAATGTTTCATCACAAGCATCAATGCTCAAAGCTTAAACCCCATGTGAATAGCGTGTTGAGGGACAATCTCAACTACCATAAGAGACCTCTAAGATCCATGCGAACAAGAGAAATGACTTTTATCCCTCATAGGGAACTCTTCTTTGAGTAAACATCGTAACTCATCACGGATTACGTGTGGTAAACCAAGCTTCTCCAAGCGTGTTGGGGGTTGCTACTAAGCTTAATCGTAAGAGGTGGAAGTGCAGAGCTAACAATGTTCACGAGTTCAACTTCCTTCGGAGGAACTCCAATATGTGGAGAGGGTAAAACATATGAAACTCTAACCGGAGGAATTTTAAGGTAGCTGCGTTGCCCCAGTAAGCATCATTGTAGGCTATGAAGCCTTCAACAAAGGCAGAAGAGTCTCAATGTGAGACTCCTTTATACTTTATACATGATTCTCAAATGTTGCGAGAGAGGCCTATTCACTAGCAGGATGACGATGTGTATCATTGAAAAACAAATAGAAGGCTTGATGTCCTACACTTCAAGACCATGCCTTGGAAAGATATGTGTCGGAATGTGACACTCACATATTGCATTTATTAATCATTAGAAAAGTGTAAACTCTTATCATCGAAACTTTGTTTTCTATAGATAACACCAAAATGTTACGTGCCAAAAATTTTGTGGCAATAGAGTAATAATTTAATGCCTTAACACTATACAAATTCCAACACACACACAAACAATAAAAATAAACAACAGAAGGCACCATAAAGTCTTATGTGGAAAAGTCAAGAGAGGGAAAAAAATCACAAGGCTCAGTTTAGTTGAAAATTTACACTATCAGTTCATAATTATAGGGTTAGATTCATATCCAATAACCAGAAAAGTTTTACGAGATTTCTCGAAGTACAATGTTTGTATACAAAAATATTTGTCGTACAACAATCAAGTATAGTTGTTGATGTAAGTTATTATCGGGTATTTGATACACCATATTCAGGGTAAGTCGTTGCATAATATTTAGAACACTACGTTTCTCCGTATGCAAGATACTTCATCACTCATAAAGTACTTTGTTACTCTATAATGCGATTTTTTAATCTATAGGGTACTTCACAGCTCCTTAATACTTCATTACCATACAATGTACATTGTTATTCCACGTGGCACTTTTTACTCCTTAATGTGCATCGTTACTCCATAGGGCACTTTTTTTCTTTGTAATGTGTCATTAATTCGCATGGTACTTTGTTACTCCTCAACGTGCGTTGTTACTTGATAGGATACTATGCTGCTCCACAAAGTCTACCAATAGTGGAGAGCAAGGGGTGGCTCATAGTGGTCAAAGAGGATTGGTGAGCGACAATTGGCTCGTATGCGGGTTGTGAGTTATCTTCGAGTCTTCAGTTCATAACATCGCTATAAATGAGCTCATTCTTCTCCTTCATCCCTCCTCTTCAAGCAAAGAGAGAAGGTCTATTTAGAGGCCCTAGAGGAGGGGCATTTTCATTAGTGGATAACCATTTTAATCGCCCGATCGAATGATCCATGTTAATTCCCTTTATCATAAGAAGTTTTTTATTAATGATCTAATAATCTTAAAGACCTCAAAATTAAGTGATATTAAGCTTTTTGGATTCCTTATGTCGAGACACTCGATTTAAACATTGACACATCAAATTTAGAGTTCATTTGAGTCCCCATAACCATTAAAAGCCTCCAAAAGCAGTTTAAGTACTTGATTCAGAGTAGATTTAACTCTTATTAAATCAATTTTAATACCATTGGCTTCATCTTATTAAGCCAATCAGTTTGACTATAATATTGCTAAAGTCAGAGCTCTGGATCATTTTTATTCTGAATCAAAATATTTGTTACTACAGATGACTTGAGATCCGTGCCAAATGACTGGAGATCCATGTCAAGTGATTAAATTTGTTGGTGACACGTCAAGTATGAACTTCAAAAAAATTAAAGCCATCCAAGTATAAACATATATGTCAAATCTCGCATTGTGCTTGAATTGAACATGAACAACTAATGGCTCGACAAAGCCAAGTTTGAACCATGGTATAATCAACTCAACTTGGCTCGATTAAAACCCCACTCACAATCACACTTGATTTTAATTTTTAAGTTATGCAAGCCACCTTATCCTAGCGATTGAGAGCTTTGACTTTCAACAAATGGTCATAGGTTGAATGTCTTTTGCATATGCACTGTGCGTGCGTTTGACCGTGCGTGAAAAAAATAAGGATTTAGACATTGTTTTGTTGGAAGCACTTCACGTGCATTGCATTCTAATTCACAAAATTTTGTAACTTTAACTGTTTGTCCGGAATGAATTGGAATTCAATGTAAAATTGGAATGTATTTGAAAGTAAGCCTTCCATTAATTTTATCTGAATTCAAAATTCGACCGATTTCACCAAATTTCAAAACCACAAATGTAAATTATTGTCGGGCATCACCGCCACTTGTTGACCGTCGTCACATCCATTGACGTCCACAAACCACCACCATTGCTGTTCTCAGTTGCTATCGCCATGCTACTGACCACCATCAGACACCAATGCAGCCAACCACTATCGCCACTGCTTACCTGTTGACATCGAGTGCAATTGCCACTGCCGCCCTCCAGCGCCACCATTGCCAAATACCATCTCCGTCGATCACCACCATTCCAATTGGCCACCAATGCTATTACCGGCCACCATTGGGCACTTTGAGGAATTCAGCTCTCAAGCATTGACCAGTGACCACCACGTTACTTTAAAATACATTATTTTAATGTTATTTTACTAATTCAACAACAATGCAATCCCACAACAAACTCCTCACTACTTTCAAGTTTTTATCAACGTTACTACCCGAATACGAATACCCGCTCGCCGGAAGTCCGCCGTGGCTGCATCTTCGCCTAATCATCCTCCCGCTTTCGCGTCTTTCCCTCTCAACTACAAATTCCATTCTAAGATCTCACATCTTCTCCTCTTCCCTTCCGTCATGAAGCAAATCCACAAGCAGTCAAGCGCCAACCAGCACCAGATCCCAACCCACAGCCCCTCCTACCCCGCAAAAACCCAAAAGCAGCACAACTCTCGCTCCTCGATCCCCCGTTCCGTAGCCTCCTATATTTTCCGCGAGCAGCGCCTCCTCTTCGTACTCGTTGGCGCTGTCATCGCGTCCTCCTTTTTCCTTCTCCACCCCTACTACCACGCTCCCATCCCTGCCCCAATTATCCCCCTCTTTCGCCGATCCACTGTTGCCGGGGGCTCGACGGTGGTTTCCACCCCCACCGTTGTCAGCCGTGTCAATGGTGGTGGAGCGAGGAGGGTTCCGGTTGGTCTCAGGAAACCACCGTTGCGGATTGTGGTCACCGGTGGGGCGGGCTTTGTTGGGAGTCACCTCGTGGATAAGCTGATTGCGAGGGGGGATAGTGTGATTGTAATCGATAATTTCTTCACTGGAAGGAAGGATAATCTTGTGCATCATTTTGGGAATCCGAGGTTTGAGCTCATACGACACGATGTCATTGAGCCGATTTTGCTAGAGGTGGATCAGATCTATCACCTAGCGTGCCCGGCTTCGCCTGTGCACTACAAATACAACCCCATTAAGACTATCATATCCTTTCTTAATCTCGTACAAGTTGTTTCTGTTCAGTATTAATATTTTGTGGAATTTGTTGGTGATTGTTGGATCCCAATTGGGAGATGGTTGACTTCATTTTTGGCTTGAATGCTGAAGGTTTTAATATTTGTTTCTTTATATAGACAGCTAAACCTTAGTCGCACTTAAAATTACTTTTATTTATCTCGAGCATTCTTTGTTTTATGCTCCAGTTTCAAAGTTAATTCGAGATATTATATCGTTATTCTGATATTTGGCATAAGCATGAAGTAAGGCAATCTAAGTTGGAGTGCTTAATCGGCCTTTCGTTCATTGTAGATTTATTCTTTTTTTCCGTCTCTTTCATTGTCAAGAATGATGGTTTGTTTGTTGAAACATGTTTATATTCTTAACCATGCTTACAAGACAAATGTGATGGGAACACTGAACATGCTTGGCTTAGCAAAGAGGATTGGAGCTAGGTTCCTCTTAACAAGTACTAGCGAGGTTTATGGAGATCCGCTTGAGCACCCTCAGAAGGAGACATATTGGGGACATGTCAATCCTATCGGTTAGCTATCTGACATTTCTTCATCTTAAGAAATCTGTATGAGATAATCCAATTATCACGTTGCTTTTAATTTATTTTATTTTTAGTGGAAAGGCATTATAAAAGTGGGTACTTCATAATGTTTCATTATCAATGATTTACTTTATTAATATTTTAATTATGAGTCTTGCATAGGTGTTAGAAGTTGTTATGATGAAGGGAAAAGAACAGCCGAAACTCTGACCATGGATTATCATCGAGGTGCAGAAGTTGAGGTGATCTCTATTTTATAGCCTTTAAGTGTTATATAGTATTTTGTTCCCTTTTCAATCAATAAGGATGATCTTCATAAAATGCAAATGTGTGGCTAATGACAAATCAGTTGAATATTGTATTACTAAGGGCTGGTTGGTTTGTTAAAAATGAAACGCAATGTTAAAGATTTACAAAGTACTATGATTATAATGTATAGAAATACTTTCGAGTTGTTTCAGTGTAAAATAAATTTAGGATTTTATGTTTTTTTGTTTTATTGGAAGTATATTGAAAACAATGTATTTACATGGGCAAAGTGTAGTAGGTGGTTGGTGGTGGGCGAGTGCTCGCGAATGGGGGCGGCGGGTAGTGACAGGAGGCTGCCAGTGAGCGAGGGACCGCGACGCGGGGGGGGGGGGGGGGGGGGAAAA